TGAGAAAATAAAAAAATATTGAGAATGAGAGGAATCATTCTCCACCACTCATTTATTTGCCGCAAGAGCCTCCATTGTACCACCGGAAAAGGGAAAAGAATAGAAATGTGTTTTCTAGCAAAACATGTTTCCTTAAACTATGTTAATCATTACCTTAATATATACATATACAACAACATAGTTTTTTTTTTTTTTTTTTTTTTTAAGTTCTTAAAAAGCTATTTTTATCGAAAAATGATTTTTAATATACCAAAATTCATGATTTTTTATTCTCTACAAATAGACATCCATATTGATATAGTTTTAAGATAAAATAATTTTTTTTCAGTTATCGTTATTCATAAGTGAATAAAAATGCATCAGATTTTTACTACAATACATTCGTTATTCACTTATAAATAAAAAATATGATTAATTTTTTTTTTTACAGATTAAGTATCATTCATATATAAATATAACATATAATAAACTCTTTACTGCTTAAATCAATTCTTGTCACATGTTATATTCACATATGAATAAAATGTGTATTGACTTTCCTGACAAGTTATATTAATATACGAAGAATACAATTATCATAGTTTTGTTATAGTTCATTTGTTATTCTTATATGAATAAGTAGTTCAAATTTTAAAAATATTTTATCTTTTTTTAACATACTACTTATTTATATATGAATAACAAATGAACTGTAACAAAAATCTTATAAATGTTTTATTAATATATGTATATAACATATGACGATAACTAATACGCGTTTTCTTCATATATATAAATATAACATGTGACGAAAGATGATGTAAAAAAAATATTTTAGATAAGAAAACTTTATAACGTGTTATATTTATATATAAACGATACTTAAACTCTAAAAAAGTTAAGCATATATTTTATTTATAAGTGAATAATAAATTTATTATAATAAAAACCTGATGTGTTTTTATTCTCTTACTAATAGCGATAGCTGAAATTCTATTTTTTTTTTTTTAATTTTATCTCAAAACTATATCAACACGAATGTCTATTTACAGAGAATAAAAAATTATGTATTTTGATATAATTAAAATAAATTTTCGATAAAAATAACATTCTAAAAATTAAAAAAAAAACATGTTTTTGTGTATATTAAAGTAATGATTAGTAAGTATACTTTAAGGAAACATGTTTGGTTGGAAAATACATAATTCCATCGGTACGTCTAAGTTTTTTGCTGCAAAATAAATGTGTGGCTGTGAATGATCATTTTTTCTTAACATTTTTTTTTTCTCAATTGAAGCTTTTCTCTTACTTTCTTTCTTTCTCTCTCTCTCTCTCTCTCTCTCTATATATATATATATATATATATATATATATATATATATATATATATATATATATATCTTTTAATATGTAAATTTTCTTAACACATATAAATTAAAATTAAAGTTCTTAAAATTAGCTATTTCAAGTAAATCTAGAATTAAAAGTTTTTTAAAAAGTAAAAATAAAAATAAAAAGTTTAAACTAATACTTCCAAACAAATTTGTTTCTTTAATTTAGTATTTATATAAAAAGTTTAAAGTTAAAATATCGTTAAAACTTTCAAAAGTTAGTTGTCAAACATACCAAAAATCTTAGTTTTGATCAAACTCGACTAGAACTCAAATCAAACTTGCTCTATTGAATGTAGCTCTCACATTCTTCAATTCATTATTTGGTTTTCAAACCATCGTATTGACAAAGAAAAATCAAATATTTTTCTATCTTTTGACAAAAAAGAAATCAATTATTTTTCTATATTTTGTTTCTATTTATTTTCATATTCCGTAGATTAAGATAAACGTCAAAATCAAGAGATGGGATTAAGAGAAGAATTAATTGATTTCATGTGTAATTATTTTATATGACTAGAAAGATGGATACAAACAAAAAATAAGAAAATATTTAATTTTTGGTTAGATCAAATAAATTGTAATCGTGAGAAAGAAAAAAAAAGAATGAATAACTCTAAGTCAATTTTGTTTATAATTATCGATAAGTCTAATAGGCCGATGCTTGAAAAAGTTTGCTTCAATATAAGTTCGGAGGGTGTTGGTGAGAAATTCCTCTCACTTTTTGTGGGCCATAACATTATTTTATTTAGTTTTCTTTCCTTCATCTTAACCCAATGAATGACTGATAAAATTTTCTTATTATTTTTTTTATTTTTAAAAAATATATATTTGTTACAAATATTATACTTATTTTATAGATAATTAAAAACCATGAGTTTTGATATATATAATTTTTAATAGTTATATAATTTAATAAGCATTAAAAAAAAATAAAAAAAAGTTGGTCAATAGGAATAGGAAAGAGAATGAGGGAATGAGCATCCTCACCACTTTTCCCTCAGTCAAGATGCGATATTCAGCTGAGAAAAAAAGTTTTCCCTCCACATTTTTCTCGCCCACACCGCCCGGTCTAAGTTGATGTATGTTTGCGTTGTATCAAATAAGAAACTGAAATTTTGATTAAATCTATCTGCTTTACACTTAAATCGAAATTATAAGTTTAAAACTAAATTCAAGAAAAAAAAAGGAGAGGTTTTGTAAGATTGTTGCTTTTAAGGCACGTGCTTAACTATGCAAAACATAATTTTGTCTTTATTGATCTGTTTATGAATAATAATAACATCATTATAATACGTGCTTTTCAGAGGGCCGAATGATAATGATAAATTCATAATAACACACTCTTCTTTTTTGTCTAATCAATAACAATTAAGATTACGACCTTAAAAGAAAAATCAACTGCATTATTTCAAACATTAAAAAAAATAAGCAAGAAAAGATGTCATTGATATCGATATAATAAAATTAAATAAATAAATAGCATTTTGAAACAGTAAAAATATGACTAGTTAAACACATTTAACTTTATAATGACTTGATTTTTGTAAAGCATGAACAAATTTCTCAGTTTTATATATTTGTTTAAAATTTTATTAGACGTTCTTATATTTAGGGGGTGTTTGGATAGGAAAAAAAAGGTGCTTATTGTTTATTGCCACAATAAGCTAATTTAAGTGTTTGGATAAAATCCAGCTTATTAGGCTAAATAAGCTACTTTTAATAAGCATTCTTCCCCATACTTATTGCTTATTGCTTATTCCCACCACAAATAAGCTATAAGCAATAAACTAAAAATCTAATCCAAACACCCCTTACTATTAAAAAAAACAAACAGTTGAGTTAACGAGATTTCTAGGATACTATTTTATATATCACAAAAAAAAAAATCTATACATAAAAGCTTCTCCCTTTTAAAATCTAATCTTGTGAATCAAAAGTTAGGAATGATGACAAAAAAGTTCATTTATTAACCACAAAAAAATCCCCATATGGACCGCCTTTGCCTTTTTGTTAATTTATGGTACCACCACTTATCTATTTTAGTGTGGTGGTCATCACCCATTCTACACCACCTCATGACCTCACCACCATATATTATTCTTCACACCACAACCTTGAAAATGTTAATATAACTTCTATATCGTCACAATTTTTGTTGGAGTCTAAAAATCTAATATAATGTTGGTTACATCATGATCTACTTTGTTTTTCCTATGACACCATATTGTATGCAAGAGCTTGGATTAGATAGTTGAATCCTCAAATTAGACGTCATATTCCATTGAAAGAAAAGAGACCAAGTTATATAAAAGGACACTACATTTTACAGGCCTCTATCTAGTTATCAAATAAAGTAAGAGTTATAATCCGTTTGATTTGTTCATCTTTAGCATAGATTTATTGAATCTTAGGGTTCTAAATGTTCATGGATGACAAATGTTTCTTGATTTTCATCAATAAAAAGTTTCAACCCGAGGCCCCATTGACATTCATGCATGCACTTGATAGATAGGGACAGTAAAGGGCATCTCCAAAGCTTGGTAAAGTAACATAAGCATGAGTGGGTAATGGGAATCACAAGAACACAAAAGAGTGAAAAACACTACTGAAAAAGTAAACCACATACTCCTTTTTCACCTTTTTCAGAATATATTCCTATTTAATAATCAATATATGCTCTTGCTCACAGGATCAACTAGATACATTTAAAAACATTACTTAAATCTCACCTCCTTTTTTAAATAATCAATATTCAATATATTTTCAAAATTTGCTGTTCTGATATATCACCCAATCTACTCGACTTCTCCTTTCAAGCATTATTATATTCTTTTTGTCAATTTAAATTATTATCAAATGTCAAGAGTAATTTTTGCTTTTGTGTTCTTTGTCATTTCTAACATATATTGTAGAAGAAAATTTTATATAGACGGAGCGGGTAACGAGCAATAAGCTGTGCCGTAACTTTTTTTTGGGTGATAAAACTAATTCTTTTAAAAACATCTATAGATCTTGGAGTCATAACATTACTATGCATGATCCGTTAGACTCTATTGAGTAGCTCCACAACTTCTGACACGGGGAAACCGAAAATATTAAATGCAAATAGTATAAACGTGTGTTAATTTTCCATACACGTGTTCTTATGTTTTGCCATTTTATTTGATGTAGCTTTTAAAGCAGCTTGCCTCACAGTGACATCCCAACTCCCCAACCCTACAAGAGGGGAAACCCCTGTTAGATCCACACATGCATGTTTTCCTCCAATCCATCCAAATACTAAAACATCAGCTGATCTAAGTGTTGATATTCCTTCCAATGGGTCAATCAGAAAGTTTAAATGTGTCTCTTTCTTGACAGAAACCCCAACGCGCCTAGGGATGTTCTTTTTGATATATTTAGGCGAACTGAGATTTCTGCTAAGAAAGAGACACCTATGAACTTTCTGACTGTCATATTACAAGGAAGATCAAATGTCAAAGTGAAAAAGAAATTATATAAAAGTTTCATTAATGGTATGTATGACGCAAAAAAAAAAAAAAATATTGGTTCAGACTAGGCCGAAGGTTATCCATATAACTGATCACTTAAAATTGTTTAATTTATCCATAAATTAGTTATATTTACCTTGTTCTAATTATAAAAGTTAAACCAATATGGCCATATGGACAGAGATTTAAAATAAAAACTATTTAGCCCATTGATATTCTAATTAGGCCCATAAACAACAAAATGGGCCAAATTTTAGCCCTAATCGGAGGTGAAACGAAACCTGTTCATGTTGCCAGGATTAAGGTTGAATAGTTGAGAGAAAAAAAAAAAAAAAAGTTAAACGACAACAATGGGGAAAGATCTTAGCGACGATCAAGTTTCTTCTATGAAAGAAGCGTTCACGCTTTTTGACACCGACGGCGACGGAAAGATTGCCCCATCGGAGCTCGGAATCCTTATGCGTTCTCTCGGCGGAAACCCTACCCAAGCTCAACTAAAGAGTATAATCGCTGAAGAAAAACTCACTTCTCCCTTCGATTTCAAACGTTTCCTTGAGTTAATGTCAAAGCATCTCAAGCCTGAACCCTTCGATCGGCAGCTCCGTGATGCGTTCAAGGTCATCGACAAGGACGGGACTGGATATGTTGTTGTTGCCGATCTCAAGCACATATTAACGAGCATTGGGGAAAAGCTTGAACCTGCGGAGTTTGATGAGTGGATCCGAGAGGTTGATGTCGGATCTGACGGGAAGATCAAGTATGAGGACTTCATTGCGAGGATGGTTGCTAAATGATTTGTAAGTTTTTCCTTCTCTTCCTTTGCAGTTTCCCGCCGTGAATCCGGTGTGTAAATCCCCAATTTTGTTCTAATTAAGATGAAGCTCCTTTATTGAGTATATATAATATATCTAGCTGCGTAATTGGGAATACCGGAAAAGGCTAGCAGATTGCATATTATGAATGTAGCACAGTAGCACTGAATCACATATACAAGTATTAGTAACGTTGCATAATCTGAGCACAAAGTAATTACATACCAATTCACAAAATCTTTTAGTACGGTTAGATGGTTGCTCATCTGATATTTCACTTTCCTTTTAACGATCGTAATATAAAGCTGTATACACATAGAGAGTTTTCAGAAAGATGTAGTTTTACATAACTGTTTAGAACCTACTAACGCGTAATTAAGAAATCACAATTGCATTGTTAATGAAAAGTTGTTTACTATGGTGAGCTTCTTCATATAGAGAAATTGAGATGATGTAATAATCAATTTGTTGTGCAGGTTGTTGTGGTGTGAGTGGAGGTGGACTGATTGATGATTCTTGTGATATTAAGAAGCAGTGTTTTTGGGGTGTGGTAATTTTCTATCTTTTTTTTTTCTTCTTCTTCTTTATGAATTTGGTGTTTGCTAGTTTTCATAAACAGTTTGTTACTGTTTGGACAACTAATCACGAAAAGAGGGTATTTTTGCCAATGCCACTTGAATGCTTGTGAATAGGTTCTAATACTTCTATTTGTTCTTCATTGCTTAAATGATTTAATGTAAAAATACATCTCCACCCGAATTGAGCTTTGATTGCAAATAGAATTGAGCTCCATAGATTCATATACTTCCATCAATATCAAAGCTTCCATCCAATGTTTTTATACCAATTGTTATGAATCAAATGGTTGAATTGAATCTATATAATCATTATTTCGTCCAAGAGGATGACCATTGTTTCGTATCATGTGTATTATTAGTGTAATTAGTTGTCTTATTTTATTTCTCAGAAAAAAAATTTAGTTATTGAAAGAGGTCTTTAATTCACCTATAAAATAAAACTCTAACTATTTGTAGGGTTATCTACAGAAAAGTTTCAAATTTTTTTCAAAAGTTTCAATAAAGTTCTATTTTTTTTTTGAACAGAAAAATCTCAATATTTTGATTTTTTGCCTAAATTAACGAAAAAATCTTTTGTTTTTTTTTTTTTTTTTTAATATTTGAACAGCAAATGATAGATTATATTGAGAATTTTCTGTTTAAATTTTCTTTTCTTAGAACTTTATTGAAACTTTTGAAAAAAGTTTGAGACTTTTCTATAAGTTACCTTTATTGGTAAGACACCATAATATTGAATTATAAGTTATAAAGTATACATTTATCACTATATTGAGATTAATAAAATACATAAAGCTAATAAAAAAAAGTTCAACTACAAGCATACGCAAAATAACATTGTAAAAATTATACTAAAACATTATATTATACAATTAGGTTAAAAGCTGTGGAAACCAAGGGTAAGAGAAAAAAACACTATTGAAAAGACAAAATTACATAAATGGTCCATACTGTCTACCATGATCACAAACTCAGCGTTAGAGCTGTAAAGACAAAATTAGTCTCACATTGACGGACAAAAGAAGACCAAATTAACCTCATACTAATGGTTGAAACCAATAGTGTGAGAAAAATGGTTTATTCACACAAATTTTGAAAACCAACGAACATTATTCGTAAAATAAAAAATAGTTTTGTGATCTTTGGTGCCATTTATGGAATCTTGTCATAAAGTTATATTATATTAAAGTTATATTATATTTGATTTAAGTTAAAAAAAACGTAACAATTAAAAAAAAAATCTAATTGTCCTTTTGTTTTTATATCGATGTTTAGTTTTTTTCTTCTAATTTACAATATTATGATTGTGACTACATTGACTTAACATATTTCAATAATATTAACTAGATGAGAAGCCCATGCTTCACATGAGTCAAAAGTTTCGTTCTTTTATAATGTTCAGAATTACAAAAGAAGGCACATATAGAAGTTGGTTGCTCAAAATTACAAAAGAAGGCACATATAGAAGTTGGTTGTTGCCTTTTGAAGCGCCAGTCGCGTAGGGCGACCGGGCCAGGCCAAGTCAGAAAGGCTTTGATGACCAACCCACGCTCGTTGTTGCTTGTATAGCTTTCTAGAGTAGAGATCTAGCAACGCCATATCAGTCAGCCATAAACTTTGGGTTTGCGGATGGAATCCCCCGAGAAGGGTTGGGGCACGCCCCACTGAGGTTTTCTTAAGAAATCAAGTCCCCTGGGGTCGGAAAAATCACAGAGACGTCGCTTATATTATATTAAAAGTTAATACAATATACATGGGCCAAAGACATTGATAACATGATGCAATTTCTAATAAATAATGATTCGAAAAACTACGAAATTCATAATACCAAGTTTTTGTGCGATAGCAATCAAACAAATTACCAAAACTACCATTTTGCATAAAGGGTTTACTATTGCTATCAAAATACGACTTTCTATTTTCAACAACCCTATGTGAACTCTAAATACCCTAAGATTCATTCAACAACTTCATGATGCACATTTTTTAAATTAAAATACATTAATGAAAAATAAAACAAAAAAGTACACGCAAATTTTCATGATGATTTCTCATGTTGTCTTTGCAATGGTCAACCCGATTTTAGTGGGACATGATTTTAATGTTTTTTTACGTGAGCATCCATTTCTGGTCAAGCTTTGGTGCCAGACACCTCATAAACAAAATGTACAAATTGATATCCTTTTCAGTTCCAACTCTTGTCATCACATATAAGGTTAACTACAATCGACCGGTTCATAAGATAAAGTCAAAATCCAATATAATGAAGGTATTTTTGCGAAAAAGAACTAATAAAATTTAATTCCCTATGTCCTCCCTTAAGAATATTCAACCTATCAAACACGGAGTCAACAAATTCTTATGGAATTGAATTCCGGAACAGACAGTTTTTTGCAAATTCACAACCTCTATAAAACGCCATCTATCTCTCGAATAAAATGGTGTAATTTATAAAAATCGAACAATAATATATAATAATAAATTAATAAGCACAACTAATTTCAATAATCGAGACCCACCTAATTACTTAACTTTTATAACACCACATCCTTTACCTTTTAGGCTTTTATTCGTTTGATGATACATGGAAGGTAGGATAAACCCAGAAGACAACATGAAAATATTGACAACTACAACTAACAGTGGACAACATTCTAGGAATCCCAAAGAGTAAACCGCTTCCATTATATGTAAGAACATGAGGGATAAATGAAGTTATAAAAAAAAAATTCCGATCTATCCAGATCTTGTGTTCACTGTGAACAGGGGCAAAATGGTCCAACTGTTATTCAATACGGGTATTGGATTAAAAAAAATACCATTCATTGTGTTTTTAATTATTGCATTGACTGTGGATAGGGTCGAAATAGATAACATTTAAATGAATAGATCATGCATTTGAATACCATATTCTAAAATATGTGCCCTGTGTAGCAATTGGAACATTTTACTAACTTATACCATTTGAATTTCTATTTTTTCATAATACTTTGGAATCTTTTATTTGATAAAAAAAAATCAAATAGGAGGTAGCATCTAAATTTTGTCACATAGAATGACGAAACTAAGCCACATTAGCTATCAGGAATGATACGCTTACCCAAAAGAAGGAAAAATATAAGCAGTAGTTGCCCCGCACATGAGTAGAGTATAACCAGAATGGAAGAGTCGAAACAGGCCATGATAATGATGAAAGTGTTTGACATAGTGGTCGCTTGTTTACAAATGTCCATGCAAAAAAATGCATCATTATCTGAGAACTCTTGATCCCAAAAACAATGAAAAGAAAAGATAAAACATATTTATGTTGAATTAAATGCAAGAAATAACAATGTGATTTTTACTTGAAACATCTTACTTCCATGTCGGGCACCTTCTCTTTTGGTCCAGGGGCAACCCAACCTGAAAATGAACTGTCAAAGCCCATTGAATCCGTGACTAAAAAATAGAATGATAAGATTGTAATTAATGTGAAAAAATACATATTTCAATAGTGGTATAGACCTTAAGTTGCTTGTGGTTATCAGGTTATGGAGTTGAATATCCACCACCTGTCCCAACTTAATATTTCTAACACATATAATAAATAAATACTGCCCCATGTTGGAAGTAAAACTCTTCCACTTAAAATTTTCATTCATAATCTAGATTCAAAATAATCAAAATAAAGGAGTCGGTTTAATTTGCTTACATGAAAACAGATGAATATGAGATTGGATCTTGTTGATGTTGTCATCTACCAAAGACGTTTATTTTATATACCTCAACTGTTCAAACATTTATCCATGTAAAGACTCGTGTCTTCTCCAGTATCTCTTAAGACATTTCAAATTTCGTATAATTAGTAAAAAATACAACAAACCTTACATTCTTATTGATGAGAGGTTTTTTTTTTTTTTTAACATCAAAACCCCCATCAAACAATCAAAAATATTAAAAAAGGAAAATCGTGAAATTATAGGGGACAAAAAATGCTTTATAAAACCAAAATTAGTAATTAGTGTGACAAACCAAATTTTTAATTGACACCTATCTTCCTGCAATACCTGATTACTCCATGCCAGCTTTCATGCACAAGCTTCCTTATGCAAGGAACAATGTTTTAGGCCTTTCTCATCTTCTAGATTGTGTACAGACATATAAGATTGTAAATTGTCTTTATGGACTAATAATAGGCATACAATTTTTTTTTTTTTTAATAAGCTTTACCGACAACCTCAATAAACCTCAAAATAATAAACTTAGTTGTTTATATTAAGGGGAAAATAATAATTTATTATATAAATATGCATTTCAGTTTGAGATCTAAGTAAAAATAAATAAATAAAATGTAAATCTTCATATCATCAGTATAAAAGCACTTACATGGGTCTCTTGCCATGTCGACATGTTCGGTGACCGGAGCTCAGATACGTCCGGTTAGCTAGTTAAACACACCCACCAGCCACCACCAATCTTTTAAGCTCATTACCAGGTGTTGGGCTTCCTGTACATTCGAAAAATCTTTCCAATTATGGAATTGTACTTTCAATTATTTTTTTAATTATGAAAGTAAGTTGCTATTTTTCTTATTTGACCTTGAAGAATTCGATATGTTTGAAATGCATTTGAACCCATTGGAGTTGCAATGTGAGTTAAAAGAGTTTTCCTAATGGTGACATCATCAGCGAGAAACTTCTTCAGATATCACATTTCCTACTGCCACAGTTACTGGATTACCACTGACCTAGAATTCTTAACTTTTTAAATAAATTCTCCAAGTAAATAGTCACCAAATTTAGTAAAATAATAATCATTGTTATTACTTTAATAAAACTGCATACATAAATAACTTACATTGTAATGCTTATGTGATCCATAAGACTGTCCAATAAATATAGTTTTTTGTTATTTCATTAGAATATGTAATGAAATGGTCTAAAAGTCTGCATTAAAGCCCTAATACAAAAAGCAAGAAGTTATAACCCTCAATATGGGAAACACAGGGGAATCGGAGAAGGAGAAACAGACGACGATGTTGGTTAAGGGCATGTTAAAAAACCAAATCGGATGTCCGGTTCACCAACCTCAGATAGAACCAAAAACCCACATAGATGATAGAACTACCTTGGCATATTATCTGACGCAACAAACAGATCACAAACCATTAGGTCGACCTAACATTAAGTTAGATGTAATTACAGACATGCTTTTATGTTTACCAGAAAGATCTATGACAGTTTCCACAACATACTTTTTGCACTGTACAGATGTCCAAAATAATGTTCAGGAGACGAAGGAGAGTTGTTGAACGTGTATGAATTTGGCTAATTGTTCGTTTATTAGACATTCATTAGATATAAGAATGTCCAACAACCCAACGACTGCAGCCAATGGTGTTGTCAGTTCATGGCTGTCAAATGGTATCGTCCAAATCCAAATTTCTAACAGAAGTAAAAAAAAATTAGGAAAAAGATGAATCAATCATGAATATTAACCTCAGATTTGCTATAAATTGGTTGTTG